TCTCTTTTTAGGGTTCCGTAGTCAACTAGGAACCCTTATAGTTTCGCCATGTCTGTCCGTCTGTCCGCCCTCGCTTAATCTCTGTCACCGTTAGCACTAGAAAGCTGAAATTTGGTACCAATATGTGTATCAAGCACACCGACAAAGTGGTAAAATAAAAATTGGAAATAATCGCTCCAAAAGTAAAAAACAGTGTGTCCCTCTAACTTTTGAACCATACGTTTAGAAAATATGAAAAAAATCTGAAAAGTAGAACTTTATAAGGACTTTCTAGGAAAATCATTTTGAACTTGGATGGAAACAACAGTTTTTGTACAAAAAAGACAAAAAGTTGTACAAAATAATTTCTGGACTAAGTTTGTAGTATAATCGTATATGCAAGCATTTTTTTAACTTCGTTTACATATTTTATTATCCTGAACGTATCTTTTTTCAAACAAAAAAAGAATTATTAAAATCGGTTATCGCAATCCAAAATTACCATCGAAAACTTCTGGCACTTCTACGTATTAATTAGTAACCTAATTCCCCGAGAGATGGCGCTGTATGTACTTATTACATTGGGTCGGGTATTATCGAATTGTTCGGTTGGTCTCTCCTTGGCATCGCCTGCCGCGGAGCGTGCAATGTTGCACGCTCCATGTTCGCGCACATACCCACTACCGGGAGCAGTTGCAGGAGCGCGAACATAATGGATACCCACCTTTAAACTCATAAGTGGGAACACTTATTGTGACGGACGGGAAACTACGGAACCCTACACTGAGAGTGGCCCGACACGCTCTTGGCCGGTTTTGCATGATGCTAATGAGTCACGGCGCTTTTTAAACGGGATCCGGAAATATAACTCATGCTTTCAAATGACGTCCTTCGGAGTTGAACGGGAAATAATAATGCCGGGATTTTCGCCTACATTTACGGTGCAAGGGCAAATTTATCATAGAATAGGTTCACTTTTTCCAGCTGAAAACGAACAGCATAAATTTTTACAAGTATATTTTATGGGTGACGAAGAAATTGAGGTAGACCGTCGCTGCCAATTTATCCAGGGAGTTGAGAGAGACACAGTGTTCCAAATGCAAAGATTCTTGCATGAACGTAACATTTTAGTCAAAACATTTAAAACTGCTTTAGAAAACCTACCTGAAGAGGATTATAAAGTCGTCATTCACGCAGATCGGACCCCTCGAGGAGAGCATGAAAGGCGCTACAATGCACCTTTGATAAACGAAATAGCAGCCGTAATTAGTGGTGATCAATTTTCTTCAGATCAGCCTTCTTTCAACTTTGTCAAACCGACCCCTTTGAAAAACGTTGTTATATTCTGAAGTCCCCCGATATTATACTTGGAACACATTTAGGAAGGAGTGGAAACGCCGTATTCAAGGCGCGCCTGTTGCAAATTGGCCCGGTGTAAAGTCATCAGATGCCCTTGGTCGTGTATACCGTCCATGTAACTAATTTTGAAGGTTTCTGTTTACGAATGCTGCTGCACCATGTTCGGGGTCCTACAGGATATAAAGACCTTAAAATTGTCAACGATCAGGAATGCGCAACTTGTAGAGAAGCATGTGAAGCTCTGCATCTTTTAGAAAACGATCATCACACACACACACAATAATGAAACCATTGAGGAAGCTGTGCAGTGCGAGTCACCAGCCAAAATGGATCTTTATGCAACTCCCATATCATCTTGCGGGCTATCTAATGCACATGAATTGTGGGACAAATATAAAGAGTACATGGCGGAAGATCTTTTGCGTAGGTTACAGCAGACACACGCGAACATGACATAAAATGAATGACAATGGTAGGCAAAAAATAAGCGACTTTGGAATGATAAGCGAACAACCGAAAATGAACTAAGTGATGAAATTATACGTGAAACAAACTACGATATACCAGCTTTGCAGCAGCAAGTAGCCGAATTTGTACCCCGCTTGCTTCCCGAATAAAAACGAGTTTTTGACAAAGTATTAGGACTAATTGAATCTGGAAATGGTGCATTTTTCTTTTTAGATGCCCCTGGAGGAACTGGGAAGACATTTTTGTTAAATTTATTATTAGTGCAACTACGGAAAGATAAAAACATTGCTGTGGCCATAGCTTCCTCCAGTATAGCCGCCACGCTGCTAAGCGGGGGCCGCACTGCACATTCTGTTTTAAAACTACCTCTAAATCTAGCCCAAGAAGAATCGCCGATCTGCAACTTTAGCAAAAACAGTGCACGAGGTATAATGCTACGACAATGCAAACTTTTAGTGTGGGACGAAAGTACAATGTCGCATAAAAAGCTGTAGAAGCACTAAATCGAACGCTCCAGGATTTGCGCAGCAATACCGATGTAATGGGAGGAATGGTGGTTTTACTGGCTAGTGACTTTCGCCAAACTTTACCTGTCATTCAAAAGGGCACACCTGCAGATGAAATTAAAGCTAGACTCAAGTCGCCTATTTTATGGAACAAGGTGACGAGATTCAGTTTAACTACGAATATGAGAGTGCATTTGTATAATGATATCAATGCTGGAAAATATGCTGACACACTATTAAAAATTGGCGATGGGCGGTTAGAAACGCATGCTGAGGGCTGCGTTAAATTGACGACAGATTTTTGTAATTTAGTACAGAGTCATTCCGAATTAATTGCGAGCGTTTATTCAGATTTAACGAACAACATGCATGAAGACAAATGGTTATGTGAAAGGGCGATTCTTGCACCAAAACATGAGAGCGAGAACACATCCTCAAAAACCTTTTCCTAAAACTTTTCATGTGAACACATTAAAAGTTTTAGGAAGAGGTTTTAATTATGCAATTACACCGCGAAGAATCCCGTATGAAGACATTATATGTAGTGTTGAGGATTGTCTGTATAAAAATAATATTGGTAATGGATATTTAGAGGCCATACGCCAAGAAATTTCGTCTATGTTACGTCGAAGTACAGCGCCGAAATTAAATCTTCCCAAAAATGAATTTAACGCGTTAAAAACCTTACGCAACAGACCAGAGCTTACGATTCTCCGCGCAGATAAAGAAAATGCTACGGTTGTAATATATACGTCGGATTTTTAAACAACTTTTTTAAACAACTTTTGTCGGATGAACGAACATAACGTAAGGTCAAAACAGACCCTACAACTAATACGCTTAAAACAACTAGCGATCTAATTAAGAAATACTCCGAGAAATTGAATCTAGACGTCAATTCGATGATACCTTCGTGTGCAAAACCTCCCAAGTTGTATGGGTTACCAAAAATACACAAACCTAACGCTCCATTACGTCCAATATTGAGTCAAATCGATTCGCCAACTTACAGATTGGCTCAACACTTAGCCAAAATATTATCACCACTCAGAGGACACACAAGAGTACATACTAAAGATTTATACCATTTTGTCAGTGAGATAAAAGACCTACGTCTTGCTGACAATGAAACCATGGTCAGTTTTGATGTTCAGTCTCTATTTACATGCCTACCTGTTGAAGACTGCATCTCAATTATAACTAGGAAACTAAATGAAAATAACATGCCACCAGAATATGCAGTACTACTAAGACATTGCCTTACATCTGGCTATCTATTGTGGAAGGAAGAGTTTTACAAGCAAGTAGATGGTGTTGCGATGGGCTCTCCTCCTGTGGGCTCAGGAGAAAGCCCACCTTACTGAACCTGTTACCCCAAGGTTCTACAAGCGGTACGTACAAAGCAACTGCATTTTTAGAACATCGTAATTCCATAAACTCTAAAATTCAATTTACTTTAGAGTTAGAGGCAAATAATTCCTTAGCTTTCCTAGATGTGTTAGTCATCCGAAATCCTAATAACACCATAGGTCATACTGTGTATAGAAAAAAGACCCATACCAACCGATACTTAAATGGTGAATCTCACCATCATCCTTCACAGTTAGCTACCGTGGGCAAATCTTTGTTACAGAGAGCACGAGGGATCTGTGACAGCAAACGCCTGGCCGCCGAGCTTCAGCACGTCAAGCAGGTTCTGCACGACAACAAGCTTCGGGTCCCGCGCCTCCGTCACAGTGACCGAGTGAAACCAGCCACAGTCGAGCGTGTGCCTGCTGTACTACCATATGTCAGAGGTGTCACAGACAAGACTGGCTAAATCTTGAAGCGAACTTCTGTTAGAACATTCTACAAGCCGCCGAAGAAGATTAGTCAGTTCTTACCATCAGTCAAGTGTCATATTCCTCTACAAGATGCAGGAGTGTACAAGCTTGATTGTGATTGTGGTCTCTCATATATAGGGCAAACAAAGAGATCAATTAGAACCCGCGTAAAAGAACACATAGCTGACGTGAAGCATCAACGTTCCGGGAAGTCTGCAGTTTGCGATCATATCCTAGATGGCCCCAACCATTACATCAGATTTGATAGACCACAAATCCTCGCGAAAAAACATCGATTCCTACCAAGGATGATACGTGAGGCTATTGAAATTAAAAAAACATCCTAATTTCAATAGAGAAGGAGGCTGGGTACTACCACCTGCTTGAGATCCTATAATTAATAAAATTAAAACTAAACCCAAGCATACCACTGCAAGACTTCAAAACACAGTTAGTTCATTCTGCGTCGATCGGACTAAAGACAATAATTAAAAAGTTGAAGGTACTCCGGGTTAACTTTGACTTCGGGACGTCACCTCAGTCGCTCAGTCCCCCGTAACCATGGGTGCTGGAAAGCACCCGAAACGTCGGGTATTAAAAATGGTATAAATAAAACGCGATAAAATCCGCAAAAGTAGTTTTAATCAATGTATAGTGTTCGCGTAAATATTCGAAAGTGTTGTCAAGTTGGGCGAAAATAAAAATTTACAGATTGTAATTTAAAAATAAGCATTGCTCTGTTCTGCGTTTGTTACATATTGTTAACCCTGCTTTGGAAAATATGCGTTCACAGGACAGATAAAAGTTAAATTTTATAACAAATAAACGTTACGATCCTTATTTTTAGATATGTAAAGCCTAAATTTTAGTGGTCTACTAAATCAAAACAATATTTTCTTTGCACTTAAATTGCTTAGATTTGTGATAAATAGCGCCATCTATTTCATTCTATAGTTAAAGATTAAAGTTATTCTCATTTTATCGAAGTCGAACCAAAATTGATAACTCTTATAAATTGAATAAAACTATTATTTACGGATTTTATCGTGTTTAATTACTTTATTTTTATTATCCCGACGTTTCGGGTGCTTTACAGCACCCATGGTCACGGGGGGGGGGACTGAGATGTTTGACGTCCCAATGTCATAGTTAGTCCGGCTACCTTCAGTTTTTGAATATTAACTTTTGGTCCGATTTACGCAAAACGAGCTTATAGTATCATGAGTTCATGTAGTTGTATGCTTAGGTTTGGGTTTAATTTTGTTAATTATAGGATCCCAAGCAGCTGGCAGCACCCATCCATCTTCTCTATTGAAATTTGGATGTTTTTTAATTTCAATAGCCTCGCGTATCATCCTTGATAGGAATCGGTGTTCTTTTGCGAGGATTTGTGGTTTATCAAATCGAATGTAATGGTGGGGACGATCTTGAATATGTTCGCAGACTGCAGACTTCCCGGAGCATCGGTGCTTCACGTAAGCTATATGTTCCTTCACGCGAGTTTTTATAGATCTTTTTGTTTGACTTATGTAAGAGAGACCACATTCACAATCTATAGATTAACCTTGAACCTATGTAAGAGAGACCACATTCACAATCTATAGATTGTGAATATGATCTCTCTTACATAGATCAACACATTCCGAATGTACTGGTACGCGTGACGAAATATACTAGAATGATTTGGTCACGAGAAATGAATGATTGACACATGTCTAGTAACTATAGTAGTTTAGTTATACAGAGTGTAAGGGACAGTTTCTCAAAACCTTTAACCATGGCGATGGCTCAGAGTCAGACTATCATTCTGAACACCTTTCACAAAACATTAAAAAATTTGTGAATGCAAAACAATGCCAACCTTCACACTGAACCAACATTCACTAGTTTTTTTAATGCTAGGATTAGTTTCAATACCAGGCAATGTAACTGAGTATTATTAATCCATAGTTTATACAAAAACTGTTGTGCAATTTATGATTAATAAAGATGTTAGTATTTGCTTGTATTTTTTGTTTTGATAACATTTTAAAGACGAGGTAAAATACGTTTTCGTCATAGATCACAGGGGTAATCAATAATTTTAACAATATAGGAAAATTTTGATTTTGAAAATGTTAGGAACTACTGGTTTAAATCCATGGTTCAAAGGTTTTTTAACGAATAAACCTGTATAAATAATATTTTTTATAGAAATAAAAGGAGCTGGGTTGGATTTTATTGTTTTATTTACTTATTATATCCATTTTTAAAAGACGGCACTCAGATCTCTTTACTGCTAAGACGCCATGTCAAGACAAGTAGATAACTGAAGTGATCTTGACCATTTAAATAACTGTTGCCACTTTATTTTTAATAGTATTCTATTTATCGTCATCATCATCATTATAGCCCTTCACAAGTCCACTGCCGAACATAGGCCTCCCCCAAGTGATACCACAAAGCACGGTCCTGAGCCACCTGCATCCATCGACTTCCTGCGTATCTCACCAGATAGTCACTCCATCACGCCCTACACTACGCCTACCAGTACGAGGTTACCTATCCAATTTCGTCGGAACATGCATATTCTTTCTATTCTGTACTGTGTCTTATTTCACCCTTCTACTTCTCCTTATCTTAAGGAGAAGTTTAGTTTTGTTGGGCTTCCAGGGGAACCTTTACGCTCTTCAAGAAAACTCATTTTAAGGGTACCAACTCACAATACATCTTTCTTTAATAAATGTTTTACTGTACAGTCTAATAAGCTCTGGAATGCCCTACCTTTGTATATACGCGAAGCTCTGACTATTGTAGTCTTTAAGAGACTTCTTAAAGAGCATTACTTGTCTCAATCGTTTGAAAATCATTAGGATATATTATGTGATTATGTAGTTTTGTATTTATTTGTTTATGTTATTGTTAGTGGTATATATTTGAGGATATATGTATGTATATGTATATGTATGTATGTATGTGTATGTATATATATGTACATGTGTATATGTACGTATGTATATGTGTATCATATTTTTTAATGTATTAGTTATTTATATGTTATTTTATTGCATGTATTGATATTATATTAGGTATATTTATATTGCACCACCTACCTAGTATTCACTGTTTTATTCCTTTACACTTTTGGTTGCCTGGAAGAGATCGCTATGTAGCGATAAGGCCGCCAAATTGTACATGTAATCTGCTCTCTGTTATATTCTTTGTAAATTTGTTTGTGGTGTACAATAAAGTATATTCATTCATTCATTCATTCATACGAGGCTGCCACTCGAGAACTTTTCTTCCCCATCGGTTATCGGTTCTTCGAGCTATATGGCCAGCCCATTGTCACTTCAGCTTAGTAATCCGTTAGGTTATGTCGGTCCCTCTGGTTTTACTGCGGACATCCTCATTTCTGAGTCTATCACGCAGAGAAACTTTGAGCATAGCTCGCTGAGCGACCTTGAGCGTCCTCATACGGCCAGCAGTGAAGGACCACGTATCAGATCCGTAAGTCATCACTGGCATCACGCACTGGTTGTACAATCTAGTTTTCAGAGATTGAGGTATACCTGACGAGAAGATGTGTCGTAATTTCCCGAACGTTGCTCAGCCGAGTTGAATCCGTCGATTGACCTCTCGGTCGAAGTTGGACTTACCTAGTCGGACTATTTGTCCCAGGTAAACGTACTCGTCAACAACTTCGAGCATAGTGCTCCCAACAACTACCGGCATAGGTGTGACATGGACATTAAACATGATCTTTGTTTTGTCCATCTTCATCTTAAGACCTATCCGTTGGGAGGCACTATTGAGGTCATTGAGCATAGTGCTTAAGTTCTCCAGCGATTCTGCCATAAGGACAATATCGTCGGCAAATCGAAGGTGAGTGATGTACTCGCCATTGATGTTAATACCGTATCCTTTCCAGTCCAGTAGCTTGAAAACGTCTTCCAACGCAGCGGTGAAGAGTTTCGGGAATATAACGTCACCCTTTTTTTTAACATGCTACCAGCGACTGCCGCCCCATGGCAGCACCTCCTCGGGAGAGGAATATTCCTCCCCGTTCTCCTTCCCAAGTAAGGCGCACCAGAACACATGGCACGCCTTCCTCCACGGCCTCCAATTGCATCTGCGCAACAGACGCCCCCGCGTCCGATGCGCGAAGGCCATGGGGCCAGGAAAAACGAGCACTTAGAAGTACTAGCCTTCCCGACCCCAGCGGCGAATCTGGTCTATGGCTCCGCCGCCAACCAAGATTCGGCTGCGGAGGATAGGGAGAGCGGCGCCTCGCAATACCGACAATCCTCTCCCCCCGCAGCCCCATCACCACCGCATCAACGGTGCGGCCCCGTTTGAGTCGCGGAGGATAGGGCGAGTGGCGCATCGCCATACCAACACTCCTCTTCCTCCGCGACTCCACCTCGCTTGCAGCGGTAGAGGGTGCGGAGTCCCCACTCGCTGCAGTCCACCAGCACACATCCGAAGTGGGCTCCCCAAGCCCACTCGGAGTGGCCACCTCAGGCCGGCCCTTCACCTCGGGCCAGCCACGTGGGTTCCTCTTTGTTCACCGTGCCACGGCTACTAAGCCCCCCCGCCACGACAAGGCAGGAACCCGTTCGGGGGGGATAATGTCACCCCGTCTTACACCTTTCTGCAGTTGGATAGGTTTCGAACTCTGGTTCTGTACTCGGATAGCCATCGTAGCCCTACTGTACAAACACTTCAGTTCTTCGATATACCGACAGTCAACTTGGCACCGCTGAAGAGACTGTAGCACCGCCCAAATTTCGACGGAATCAAAGGCTTTCTCATAATCCACATACGCCAGGCAAAGTGGCAGATTGTACTCTTCGGACTTGTGTACAATTTGCCGAAGGGTATGTATGTGTTCTATGGTACTAAAGCCTTTTCGGAAACCGGCTTGTTCGGGAGGCTGGAGGTCGATGAGTTTGCGTGCGAGACGATTCGTAATGACTCTCGAAAACAGCACGTAGACGCGGCGCAGAAGGGATATCGATCTGTAGTTCTTTAAGAGTGTGTTGTCACCTTTCTTGAAGAACAAGACCACCGCACTTCTGCTCCACGCCTCCGGAGTAGTGCCACCATGGAAGACGGAATTAAAGAGCCTCTAAAGGACTTCAAGTACCAGTTTTCCACCCGCTTTCAGAAGCTCCACTGTAATTCCATCCTCGCCCGGGACTTGCCGTTTTTAAGGTGCTGGATAGCCATTCTAATCTCGCTCAGACTGACGTCCGGGATATCATCGGAATAGTGTCGGATTAGACTTGCTATTGGATCGTTACTCACACTTGCGTGTGGCGCCAACGATGATGTGTACAGCTGCCCATAGAACCTCTCAATCTCACTCAGAATCTCAGGTGTCCGTCTCAGGTCTCAGTCTTCAGATTTGACAGTTGGCTCTTACTGGCAGACAGATCTCTGGCAAAGACTTTGGAGTCCTGGTTCCGCTTGATCGCTTCTTCAATACGAGGAGTATTAATTTGCGCAAGTCTCGCCGCATGCATTTCTAGATCTGTGTGTTCAGTTGCCTGTATGCTGTCAAATTAGTTGACGATTGCAGCCTCATCTCCCGTCTAAAAGCCATGAGATTAAGAGTGTGATCAAAGAGTTTTTGTGTTCTTCTGCGGCGGATCTTGCAGAACTTAGCTCCGACCGCATGGACAGTTTCCACGAGCTTGTCATTCATATCGTCCACTGCATTGCAATCTTCTAGGCACTGAAAGCGGTTACGTAACTCGAGCTGAAAGGTTTCGGGATTCTGGATTAGAGCACGATGGGGACGGAGCGTTGACTTCATTAGACGAGACCTCTCCAACTTAACGTTTAGGTTCAGTGTAAAAGTAAAATAAAGTAAAGTTACAGCCTATATACGTCCCACTGCTGGGCACAGGCCTCCCCTCATTTCTGAGAGGGTTTTAGGGCAAGGAAGTGTCCGCCGCGCTGCCCCAATGCGTGTTGGCGAACTTCACATGTCTTCGAAAATATTTTTTTCTTATTCCTCAGACATGCAGGTTTCCTCACGATGTTTTCCTTCACCGCTGAGCACGTGGTAAATCAGCACTTAAAATTGCAATTAACAATTTCATTGGTGCCGGCGGGGATCGAACCCGGGTTATTCGCGTTCTGTTATACTTACAGTGAGCGTTAACCATCTGAGCTACCACGGCTCTTCAGTGTTCAGTGTGCCTCTAACCATTCGGTGATCGCTGCCAGTTTTCACCCTTGCGATCACTGAGACTACACTGAACAGTTGGCGTCTGGTCGTCATAATGAAGTCAATCTCATTTTTAGTCGAACCGTCGGGGCTCGACCAAGTCCACTTCCTGTGGGGCCGCTTCTGGAAGAAAGAGTTCATCATAAAGAGTCCCTCTTTCTCCATGGAGTCGGCCAGCTGCTGGCCCCTACGGTTCTGTTGACCTACTCCAAATTTCCCAATGAGTACGCTTTTCGTTGGCACACATACGTTGAAGTCTCTCATCAACACCGTGTAGTGAGTTTTGGAGGAATGCATGGCTCTGGAAATATCCTCATACATTTCCTCCACCTCCTCATCGGGATGTGCTGAGATTGGTGCGTAAACCTGTATGACTTTCAGCGAATACCGTTTGATGATTCTGAGTATCAGGTACGGGACCTTCGTCGAAACACTCTCAATCTTCACAATGTTGTTGACAAGAGACTTGTGGACGATAAATCCGACACCTCCTTGGGACAGATGGTCGCCCTCCCGGTGATAGAACAAGTTGCCGTACTCGAGGATTATCGTGTCCTCCCCCTCTCTTCGGACCTCGGATAATCCAATAATATGCTAGCGCAACTTCTCCCGGCTCCAGTATCTTTTCGTTCGTCCTCAGGGTGCGTGCGTTATATTTGCCAGGTCGAGTCGTCGTAGGTGGCAACCGAACGTCCACCGCGTAGTATTCTATTATTTTATTATTGTAAAGAAAGCTTGTTTTAATAAAAATAATTTTTAAAACAGAAAATTATAGGTATTTTGCTGAATACGATACCTACTTAAATAAAACTTCTTTTGTATTTTTTTAATTTTGTACAAATTTACAGTAGAATATGGTTCTGGTACTGATAAAGTACACTTGGTACCTAATTGTGTCGCAACCTTGAATTTAACCAATTAGGGTGCATTTCAACACGCCTCTCCCGTTCCGCTTACCTCAGACTTTTGACAGACAGGTTTGGATGCAGAAGTACATACATTAGTCTATTTGGGGTATAAATAAGGCATAAGTTCAAATGTGTTCAAATATTGTGGTGTGAAATTCGGAGAATCCCGTTTTCACATGGTCAACTGTATGTAGCTTTTTCGAGCGTTGGACAGAAAAAAATTACTTGGTGTATGCCCCAGAACACAAGACAGTAAATGAAGTGTATAAGAATGTATTGTAATATAGGTATTCAGTACATGACTATTATCTGTAGTAGTAAGTATTTTTATATAATGAATAAAAATACGTAAGTAAGACAAAAAATTAAAAATTTAACAAGAAAAGTCATGTGTTCGTAATTTGAAAAAATTCTTATTTAATAAAACATACATACATGAATAAATATTAGACATAAACTAACCCAACAAAGCGGGTTTTCACAGCAATTGTACATATTTTACCAGATACCTCACGAAGAAGATTTTGCTCCAGTGTGTATATTCAAATGCCTTTTCAAATTACTTTTTGTAATACATTTATATTCACAGATATTACACGAAAAAGGTTTTTCTGCGGTGTGTATTTTGATGTGTTTCATCAAATCGATTTTTCTTATACATTTATATTCACAAATATTGCACGAAAAACGTTTTACACCAGTGTGCATTTTCATATGCCTAAGCAAATGACTTTTCCTAATACATCTATAATCACAGATATCGCAGGAAAAAGGTTTTTCCCCGGTGTGTATTTTTATGTGTTGTTTCAAATTAGTTTTTCTTATACATTTATATTCACAGATATTACACGAAAAAGGTTTTTCACCAGTGTGCGTTTTTATATGACTTAGCAAATCAGCTTTTCTAATAAATCTATATTCACAGATATTACACGAAAAAGGTTTTTCTCCAGTGTGTATTTTTATGTGTTCTTCCAAATTAGTTTTTCTAATACATTTATATTCACAGATATAACACGAAAAAGGTTTTTCACCGGTGTGCATTTTCATATGACTAAGCAAATGACTTTTCCTAATAAATCTATATTCGCAGATATTACACGAAAAAGGGTTTTTCTCCGGTGTGTATTTTTAGGTGTTCTGCCAAATTAGTTTTTCTAATACATTTATATTCACAGATATTACACGAAAAAGGTTTTACACCAGTGTGTATTTTCATATGTGTATGCAAATTACTCTTAAAATTACATCTATATTCACACATATTACACAAAAAAGGTTTTTCTCCGGTGTGTATTTTTATGTGTTCTTCCAAATTAGTTTTTCTAATACATTTATATTCACAGATATTACACGAAAAAGGTTTTACACCAGTGTGTATTTTCATATGTGTTTGCAAATTACTCTTAAAATTACATCTATATTCACACATATTACACGAAAAAGGTTTTTCACCGGTGTGTATTTTCATATGCCTTTGGAAATTTCCTTTATCTGTACATTTATAATCACAATTATTACAACAGTACATTTTCTTAGCGATGTGCGTTTTAAGATGTGCTAAAATGAGACGTTTTTGAGATGTTTTAAATTCGCAAATATCACAGTTATATATATCTATTAGTTGTGGTACTAGAGTTTGTTCAACTTGTGTCTGAACTGCATCTGAATTCTTTGGAGTCTCATGACTGTGTGATATGTGGTTGACGAGAATATCTTTTGATAAAATTTTTTTTTTACAATCATCACATTCAAAAATATATTTTGTTGATGCCTCAGATGTGTTTTTCCTAAGTATATTTACACTCTGTTTCAAAATTTTCTTTTTCGTAATTTTTGCAGGATGCTTTCGTTTTTTAATAACTGGTTGAGTATCTATTCTCAGTTTAGGCTTTGATTTAATAGAAAGGCTTTTTAAATCGAGGTTTCCTTTCCGGATTTCATTTATGTTACAATCAGTAGAATTTGATTTAATCTTTTTCTCACACGGTTTCCAAAAATTATTTGCTTGTATGCAGAGTTGTTCTGAAATACAAATTATAATATTTTACATAATTACACTCATTTAACGTTGCAAGATATAAAGTATTTTAGCCAATTACTCTGGATATTGCCTCTCATATTCGTTTATGGAGGGAAAGAATGGTAAAGAATGTAATACAAATAATAATGATGACGTTCTTCTGACCGTGTTATAATTACATTAATCTAATAACCGAGGCAAATACTCCCTACATCGGGAGAGATCCTTCCATGTTCAGCAGTGGAAGTTTACGGTACGATTAAGATAGAGGAATTATTTGTAGGCTATACAAAGACTCAAAACAAGCCCTGGTAGCTCGAGGGCTAGCAGTTTGCCTTAAATTTAACAGTACGCTAACAACCCCGGTTCGTTATCCACATGCACCCATAAAATTGATAATTTTCTATTTGTATGTGTATATAGTCGGGTAATAGGTTGTCATAATAGTTACCAGAAAAATTAAAAAAAAGCGTTGCTAAGTATTTTAAAACATAAACATAACATAACATAAACATAATGATTTCTTAAATTTACGCGAACACTACACATTGAATAAAACTATTATTTACGGATTTTATCGCGTTTAATTACTTTAATTTATTTTTATTATTATCCCGACGTTTCGGGTGCTTTACAGCGCCCATGGTCACAGAGGGGACTGAGATGTTTGACGTCCCAATGTCATAGTTAGTCCGGCTACCTTCAGTTTTTTAATATTAATTTTTTTTTTGGTCCGATTTACGCAAAACGAGCTTATAGTATCATGAAGTCTTGCAGTGATATGCTTGGGTTTGGGTTTAATTTTGTTAATTATAGGATCCCAAGCAGATGGTGGCACCCAACCATCTTCTCTATTGAAATTTGGATGTTTTTTAATTTCAATAGCTTCGCGTATCATCCTTGGTAGGAATCGGTGTTCTTTTGCGAGAATTTGTGGTTTATCAAATCTAATGTAATGGTGGGGACGATCTTGAACATGTTCGCAGACTGCAGACTTCCCGGAGCGTCGGTGCTTCACATCAGCTATATGTTCCTTCACGCGGGTTTTTATAGATCTCTTTGTTTGACCTATGTAAGAGAGACCACATTCACAATCTAGCTTATACACACCTGCATCTTGTAGAGGAATATTACATTTGATGGATGGTAAAAATTGACTAATCTTCTTCAGCGGCTTGTAGTATGTCTTAATGGACGCTCGCTTCAAGATGTAGCCAATCTTGTCCGTGACTCCTCTAACATATGGTAGTAGGGCAGGCGCGCGCTCGACTGTGGCCGGCTTCACTCGTTCACTGTGACGTAGGCGCGTGTGTGATTGTGAATGTGGTCTCTCTTACATAGGTCAAACAAAGAGATCTATAAAAACCCGCGTGAAGGAACATATAGCTGATGTGAAGCACCGACGCTCCGGGAAGTCTGCAGTCTGCGAACATGTTCAAGATCGTCCCCACCATTACATTAGATTTGATAAACCACAAATTCTCGCAAAAGAACACCGATTCCTACCAAGGATGATACGCGAAGGTATTGAAATTAAAAAACATCTAAATTTCAATAGAGAAGATGGTTGGGTGCTACCATCTGCTTGGGATCCTATAATTAACAAAATTAAACCCAAACCCAAGCATACCACTGCAAGACTTCATGATACTATAAGCTCGTTTTGCGTAAATCGGACCAAAAATTAATATTAAAAAACTGAAGGTAGCCGGACTAACTATGACAGTGGGACGTCAAACATCTCAGTCCCCCCGTGACCATGGCCGCTGTAAAGCACCCGAAACGTCGGGATAATAATAAAAATAAATTAAAGTAATTAAACGCGATAAAATCCGTAAATAATAGTTTTATTCAATGTGTAGTGTTCGCGTAAATTTAAGAAATCATTATGTGAACCAGTACGGACTGGTAATAGCAAATAAAATTCGTCGATTAGAAGATCTTAAAACCAAGCGCGCAAGATATATAACATCTTTAAATTTCTTGAAGAGATGCAGAGACCATAATCTCATTCCTACGTGTGTCAAAATATCAACAAAGAAGGACATTCGAGAAAGCGCTAAGATCTTAAATCAGGCAAGTAAAAAGTTGATACGGACGGTGATTCAGCAGAAACGGTTCGATTTACATTTCATAAACAACACCATAGACAATTTGTCCAGTGAACTAAAGACAATTTTAACGACATTTGATTTTAATAATTGCATCGAAACTTTAAACAAACGAGAAACATCAAAATACAATGAATGCAAAAATAAACAAATAGAAAAATATCAAAAATTAACGATCAAATCAAATGCCAAACATCCAAGTCAACGCCAGAACAATAAACAACCGTTGACCATAGACACAAACTATAAACAACGCACTGTCTATAATTTGTAAAAAACATACACTGGACGAACCGACAATGAAAGTATTAGCGAAGGGAATGAACTTCGCGTTAACTCCGCGAAAAATCCCGTACGAAGAAATTATCTGCAGTGTTGAGGATTGTCTGTTTAAGAATAATATCGGTAAGGAAGATTTGGAGGCCATACGTCAAGATATTTCGTCCTTGTTACGTCGTAGTTCAGTGCCGAAACCGAACCTTCCCAAAGACGAATTTACAGCGCTAAATAACTTACGGAACAGACCAGAACTCACGATTCTCCGCGCGGATAAAGGAAATGATACGGTAGTAATGGACGCGTCGGAATATAATTTAAAAATACAACAATTCTATCGGATGAAAGTACATATAAAAAGGTCAAAACAGACCCTACAACTAACACGCTTAAAACAACTAGCGATTTAATAAAGAAATACTCCGAAAAATTAAATCTCGACGTGAATTCGCTAATACCATCATGTGCCAAACCACCGAGGTTGTATGGGTTACCGAAGATACACAAACCAAACGCTCCACTACGTCCCATAGTGAGCCAGATCGATTCACCAACTTATAAGCTGGCACAATACTTAGCAAAAATACTATCACCACTAAGAGGACATACCAGAGCACACACAAAGGATTCATACCATTTTGTGAGTGAGATAAAAGACCTACATCTCGCTAACAATGAAACTATGGTCAGTTTTGATGTTCAGTCAATATTTACATGCCTACCTATTGTGGACTGCATCTCAATTGTAACTAGGAAGCTAGAAGAAAATAACATGCCTCAAGAATATGCAATACTACTTGAACATTGCCTCACATCTGGCTATGTATTGTGGAAGGAGGAGTTCTACAAGCAAGTAGATGGTGTGGCGATGGGCTCACCTGTGTCTCCCATAGTCGCCGACATATTCATGGAGGACTTTGAGGAGAAAGCCCTTCTTACTGCTCCTGTAAATCCAAGGTTCTACAAGCGGTACGTAGACGACACTTTCACAATTTTACCATCTGACAAAGTAACTGCATTTTTAGACCACCTTAACTCCATAAACTCTAAAATAAAATTCACAATGGAGTTAGAGGCAAATAATTCGTTAGCTTTCCTAGATGTTTTAGTCATCCGAAATCCTGATAACACTATTGGTCACACTGTGTATAGGAAAAAGACCCATACCAACCGATATTTAAATGGTGAATCTCACCATCATCCTTCACAGTTAGCTACCGTGGGTAAATCTTTGTTTCAGAGAGCACGAGGGATCTGTGACAGAAAACATCTGGCCGCGGAGCTTCAGCACGTCAAGCAAGTATTGCAAGACAACAAGCTTCGGGTCCCGCGCCTACGTCACAGTGAACGAGTGAAGCCGGCCACAGTCGAGCGCGGGTTAAGTGTGATGACCCCTCTAATATATGCTTCACAAGCAATCACAGGAATTAGGCCGTGCGTCATAGCACGGGTTGCTTAGTAAGAGATATTTTAATATAAATACTAGGCTAAGTTAACTGTAAGACGGATTTAGTTTTGGAAGTAATTATAAGCTGTAACTCTGTAATTTTGCATAAATAAATTATTTTTATAAATAAAGTCGTTGTCAACTTAATTGGCGCAGCCGGTAGGATATTCGTAGTTGTCTAGGAAGAGTCTGTATCGTCGGCTATCATCGTGATCCAACACCAGTATCCTGACAACGTGCGTTTCAACGCTTGGACGAATATCACCGAACAAATAAATAAATTAAGGACTTCGCGACTTCAGCAGAAACAGCCGAGACTCCAGAACTATCCCAGAGGGACTAAAACTAAAACTACTACTACTACTTACTACTACTACTAAAACTTTTCACTTCCCGCAACCTTCCTTTTGTTTCCTCTTGTATTAGTTATACGTAGGTATTGTCTTGGATTAGAAAACGCCATAACAATACTCTTCTACTAAACAATCAAAATTTTGTTAGTAGATCTTAGCCAAATCAATTTTATTCTTCGTATTTAAAAACTTTGATATTTATTTTTTATTTTAAAATGGAAAACATTGAAACAATTCCCGTAGAAATGACGAAAATTATTCCAATTTTTGATGGAGATGCTAGGTTATTACCTTTATTCATAAAAAAATGCGAATATATTTTACAAACATTCCAAGGGGGTAACTTACAAAATGAATATTTATTTCACGTCATTACCAGTCGCTTGTCAGGGGAAGCTGCTAGTTTAGTGGGAGAAAGGGAACAGATAGACTCTTGGGCAGACCTCAAATCGCTGTTAAACCAACACTTTGGCGACCCAAGGTCTGAAGAATGCTTAGCTATGGAGCTAGAGAGTCTTAGAAAACATAGAAACGAAAGTTATCAAGAATTTTGTAACCGGGTGCAACATTTAAAAAGCATTTTATTTTCAAAAATTAACGAAACCATTAATAATCGAGACTTACGGCAAGCTAAACAAACGATATACGATAACACAGCATTAAACGCTTTTTTATACAATTTACCTGCTTACTTAGTGAGACTAGTGCGACTACGTAATGTTACCACCTTAGAAGACGTATTAAAAATTGTATTAGAGGAACAGAACTTCCAAACAGTTTACGAAAATAGGAACCCAAAGTCTAATAAAAATTTTAGACCAAGCCAAATCCAATTTCCAAAATCATCCCAATTTTAATCATAATAATAAATATAAAGGCCCAAGTTTTCAATATCAAACGAACGGCCATTCATCGAATAACCAAAGTAATTCATTTAATTCAAATAATATTTCTCCCCACTTCGTAAGTAATCATAAAATGAATAATAGAAATAACTTTAATGCGAACTTTGAAACTGGGTCACCAGTACGATCGTCATCGGCGCAACACCGTCAGCATTTTTCGCGAAACAATGGGCAATACCGTGCGTCACAAGTGCCGTCGAACTCTAATACTGACGTCACAATGAGGACAGTTAGTTCAAGACGCGTAAATTATACCGATACAGAAAATAGAATTCAACCTAATACCTCGCAAAACCAATTTGATTTTAATTCTCATTCGGTCGAAAGAGAATATGAACAGATAGGAAATTTTTTTATAACAGCCTCAACAATAATAGAAAAGATACCTAAAACACCGTCAGTTATGTCGATTTCCGACACGGAAAGCGAGAAATCTATAGTTGTTTCTGATACGGAAGCCGAGCCACCGATGGAACTGATGGAATTATCAGACGATGGTGACACAGCTAACTCAGTATCAAACAGGGAACATGAAGGGATTCCTATCCTGAAAAAAGCTATAGATACTAAACCACGCCAAATTTTAGTTTCTGGATGGTTTAGCGATAAAATATCTGTTAAAGACATTTCAAATAAAAGACAACGTATACTAAAAGTTCACATGCCTTTACTAAGTAATGAAAAACTTGTCAAAGATTTTTTTAAAGAATATAGCGATTTTAAACATAAATATTATATCTATTTCGAAAACACGAAATTACTAAATGTTTTTAAAACATGAAGTAGTTCTATTAAAATTGATAATATTGAAAAGTTATATAGACAAAGACAAATTAGTTTTTATCTTAGAAATACCATTATAGAAAAAGAAACTTTATTATCCCTATAAAGAAATTGACCAACACCTATACCATAATTCCTAAATACCCCTACCTATTAGTGAATGGTTTGAAATACAGAAACGTAGTAAGCCCGTGTACCCAAATAGAACCAAACAAACACTTATGTTCGGAGGAAAATATGGCACCAGTTGATGAAGAAACATGCATCGAAGAAATAATGCCGGTCACATCATCTTGCAAACCACACTCTTCTCTTATTACACAATTTCTTACCCTGTCATTCAGATTCAGCCCTAACATACTCCTTAACGACCGCATTTCTACTGCGTTTATTCTACTCTCGTGCTTCTTCTGCCACACCCAACTTTCACTACCATACGTGAAAATAGGGACCAACACAGCATTGTGAATTGCCATACGTGCCTTTTTCGACACATTTTGACTCTTCACAATAGAGTGCAAGGCGCCATTTACTCTATTTCCCGCATTTATTATTTTAAATATTTATAAAAAAAGTCGAGAAAATCTACATCCTGTAAAAGTCTTTTAAGTCCTGTTGCTTCAAATTTCAATTCTTTTTTAATTTTCTTCTTATTATGTAATCCTGAACAATGCTTACTACTCCGTGCCATATTTAACAAAATTCGATCACTATCAGAGTCACCTCTGTGTCTATAGGCTGTAATGATAACGATGATGAGTTCTATTCATAGATAATTGCCCAATTAAAAGTAAACGAATTCAGTTCTTGCTTAAAACAACATAATTGTATGGCCTACAAATAATCATTTTGGTTCCTTGGGTCACAAACAATCATTTGGTTTGTTCATGTGTATTAAAAGAACAGAATTTTGTATCGACAGTGCATCTCCAACTACAGATGCAAGAGAAATTTCTAACGTGGTGGTTTTTTTTATTTTTTGGTACGGATTTTTCAAATAATTTTTTTTACCTATGTCAAAGTCATCTGTTATACTCTTTGAACCATATGTAACAATCATTTGGTTTGTTCATGTGTATTAAAAGAACAGAATTTTGTATCGACAGTGCATCTCCAACTACAGATGCAAGAGAAATTTCTAACGTGGTGGTTTTTTTATTTTTTGGTACGGATTTTTCAAATAATTTTTTTTACCTATGTCAAAGTCATCTGTTATACTCTTTGAACCATATGTAACAATCATTTGGTTTGTTCATGTGTATTAAAAGAACAGAATTTTGTATCGACAGTGCATCTCCAACTACAGATGCAAGAGAAATTTCTAACGTGGTGGTTTTTTTATTTTTTGGTACGGATTTTTCAAATAATTTTTTTTACCTATGTCAAAGTCATCTGTTATACTCTTTGAACCATATGTAATTAGTGGCAAGTCATTCTCCGAATCTTTATGACGATCTTCAAAAGCATCAATCTCCAAGTCTTCTTGTTTTTCACCAATATCTAGAATGAAACAGATTCTGACTCAATATATAAAATAAAATCTAAAATTTATTCCAAGCGACTGGATCATTACAGTCCATCACACAGCTTATGGCTCCGAGCCACCCACTTTCATTACCATACTGCATGTTTCATAAGCTACGTGTAATTACCTGAGTGGCAATGGGCCAAAGAACTGACAACTGATGGAGAAGAAAGGTTCTCCTAACCTTTCCTTTTCTTTTTTTTTTTGGTAGACAAAGTGTAGCCCTACGGTCCCCCACTAGATGGAGTGACGACCTGGTAAGACATGCAGTAAGTCGATGAAAGCAGGTGGCTCAAGACCGTGCTTTGTGGTATTCCTTGGGGGAGGCCTATGTTCAGCAGTGGACTTGTGCTGTAATGATGATGATGATTAATTCACCTCATTTAGTAAGTGTTCTGTCACAACTTGTTTTTAGTAGGTGAGTGCTTGCCAGTAAAAGGATACCTTGAGCACCTTTTCTCCATATATTTTATTATGAAGTGACAAACTAACTAAATCTCCACCTTATGTGTGTAGCCGTTCCACCTGATGGTAAGTGGGTACTGCAGTCCATGGACTGCCTGCGGCTAACTTCAAACATAAAAGGCTACAATGTGCTGTGCCCTCTGACGACTAAGATGCAATGCCCCACAGCCAGTGATTATACTGACTCTATACTCTTCACACTGCTATTTGACGACAGAAACAGGTAACAGGAGGATGGAGGAGTTCATCTGAGTTAAGAAATTACCAGTTGTAAGTATAGCACTAATTTCTATGAAATTAATACATTTTAGTGTACATACATCCTGGCTGCATACATGGTCAAAATATTTACAAATAAGAAAATGTCTAACAAAGCTCATTATGATGTCCATGTATGGTTATCTTTTAAATAATTATTCAGTTATTTTCTTTCTCCATGAGTGCTTTTTACTTGCACTTTGAATTTAGGCAAAGGCAAATCAGTACATTGCACATGAAGCCCTCTTTATTTTGTGTCCATAATCTACAGTAACCACTTGCCATTATGTAAATTGTACCTTAATTTAATAATATCACAAAATGTGTATATCTTACCTATTTCATGATTCCCATTTACTTCAAATTTGGAATTCTCGTTTTCGAAATTCTCTTCCTCAACTTTAACAGATTCAAGGTTAAAAATTTCGTCCTTACAATCATTTTCAGCACCACACTCTGCTGGCCTGATATCTATATGACAAATTGGTGTGAATTGAATCTCATCTCTAGCCTCATGCGGTTTTGGTATTGACTGAAACCAATTTGTTTTTTTCTTAAAAAAACATAGAAAAAGCCAGTGCCATACCATCCCACAGATGTCGTAAAAAGGGACAGAGGAAAACTGAAATTGGAGATGGGCAGCAGCATCTTCCTGACAACAACTCCAAATGATAATGAAAACCGGACAAAAGTGAGGGTTCTGAATAAACTTAAATAAGAATATAGATAGTTTAGAAATGTAATTAGAATCGAGTCTAAACAATTTTTCCAATCACGAATTCCGTAAATTGACAAATATCTATCTTTGTTTACTAAATATTATTATTACCTATAGATAATATTTCGTTTATACAGGATTATTTTGCAATAACCAGCCAAATTTGCACAGAAGGTTCAGAACATGTAATATAGGCAAATGGTGAAGAAAAATTAATTAACAAATCTCAAACAGTCTGTCCTTTATTATCTTTTAAATTCAAAATGCTTGGTAATGCAACCATCATCATCATCATTACAGCGCCTCACGAGTCCACTGCTGAACAAAGGCCACCCCCAAGAAATGCCGCAGCACGATCTGAGCCACCCGCATCCCTCGACTTCTTGCGTATCTTACTACGTCTTCACTCCATCAAGTAGAGAAATGCCCTACACTTCGTCTACCAGTACAAGGCTGCCACTGGAGAGCCTTTCTTCCCTATTAGTTATGCCCACAGCAAGATGCCACCCGCATCCATCGACTTACTGCATGTCTTACCAGGTCTTCACTCCATCACGGGGGACGGAGGGAAGCCCTACACTTCGCCTGCAGGTACGAGGCTGCCACTCGAGAACCTTTCTTCCCCATCAGTTATTGGTTCTTCGATCTATATGGCCGGCCCATCGTCACTTCAGCTTACTAATCCGTTGGGCTATGTCGGTCGCTCTGGTTCTACTGCTGATATCCTCATTCTCTCCATAGCTAAGCGACTTTGAGCTTCCTCATACGGTCAGCAGTGAAGGACCACATATCAGATCCATAAGTTATCACTAGCAAAATACTCTAGTTTAACAATCTCCTGTACAAATTTTGAGGTATGTACCTGATGACAAGATGTGTCGTAATTTCCCAAACGCTGCCCAGCCGAATTGAATCCGTCGATTGACCTCTTGATCGAAGTTGGACTTACCTAGTCGGACTATTTGTTCCAGGTAAACATACTCGTCAACAACTTCGAGCTTAGTGCTCCCAACAACCGTTTTGTCCATGTTAATTTTAAGACCTATCCATTGGGATACACTATTGAGGTCATTGAGAACAGTGCTTAGGCCCTGCAGCGATTCTAACCTAAGGACTGTATCGTCGGCAAATTGAAGGTAAGTGATGTACTCGCCATTGAGATATATACCGTACCCTTTCCATTCCAGTAGCTTGAAAAAATTTTCCAATGCAGCGGTGAAGTTTCGGGGATATTACGTCACCGTCTTACACCTTTCTGTGTTTGGATAGGTTTCGTACTAGGGCTTTGTACTCGACTGTAACTTAACTTACTGTAATTCATAAAATATAACACATTGCTCCTACGAAAAAGTAAGTGGATTGAAAAACAAACTTAACTATGCAGTAGAAAAAACATTCTCCCACATAGCAACGGGAAGAAAGCAAGCAAAAGCTTAGAAGGCGCGAGACAGGAAGTGATCATCTAGGTGCCTGCCAATGCCAAGTGATGATTAAATGATGATTCATTATAATGGTAATGAACCATCAAGCAGTGAACTATAATTAATAACCACTATCCTATATACCTACCAAGAGGACGAGTGTCGTAAGAGCCGACAGAGGGAAACAGAAACAGGAGTTGGGCAGCAGCATCTTCCTGATAACAACTCAGACTAATATAAATTACGAATGCCAACCTGCTAAGCGTGGCAAATTTGGCAAAATCCTTCATATCAAGCAATCTATAGGTTCAATAGTAGTAGTAAGTAATCTTTTATAGGTTTTAATGGATGGAATAGATAATACCATGGACCCTCCTGCAAGCAACTGTACCAGAACTGCATTTGACTCAATAGCCTGTTGTTGTAATGTTCTGCATCGAATGAGTTTTGCATGACAGATGAAACATACAATTACGGGCTCCTCATTTTCATCCATCTAAAAATATTAAAGTTTATCATAAACATGCAAAACTACTTAAATATACAAGTTTGTAAAATATATTGGCTACCACAACTCTCTTCTTCAATATCATTTTGTTATAACATTGAAGTAACAAATAAGCTTACAATCCACCTGATGGTAAGTGACTGCCATAGCCTATAAGCACCTGCAACAAACTTCAAGATGTTACCTCTAAGAACTAAGATGTAATGCTTCTCTTTGTTGATGCAACATCTTTGAATTTATTGTTCTCGCATCGAAATTATTCACTATTATCTTGTTAAGTTGTACTAATCATCAATAAGTGACATCATGATGGCATCAGCAAACTTTCTGCACGCGGTTAATATATGGACACAATTCTCGTATTAATTTATACGATATTTTATAGAATATATATTATTAATTTAAAATGTTGTGAGTGTTAAGTAAGTGGTAGTCTGCATGACATTAACAGACAAAGCTTTAAAAGCAGTAGATCTAGACTCTTGAGACCCTGACAGAGGCATTTTCAAGTTTGGGCTTTCAAAATTTAATCCTAATAAACCTACATTCATATTTTTACTTTAAACTACTAGCATCACCATTAACATTGTAAATACTTCTCTTATTTGCTTCAAGTAAACTGAAAATGCCTGCACTAGGAGTAATTTACAAAAATAGTCAAATAGCAGATTTGAACTTACTACTTTCTTGCGTTTGCAGTCCGCATCCTAACTATTAGACCACTATCACTAAGTTCCAAATGAAGTTAATGACAATATACTTTCACTAGCATTTCTAACCTTTTTGATTTAATGTTAACTGCAGTATAAAGTAAGTTTCAGATAAGTTTGGACATTTTATTTTTTTGACAATTAGATTATTTTATATCATAAGGGTATGGGCATCAGCATTTTGCACATAACAGGTCAGAATAATTAAAAAAACTGCAGTTGCCAACCCGCCTAGCCTAGGGTGGCAACTATGGCAAATAATAATACCAAAAATTATACTTAAAATATATATATACAATATGTAACGTAATTAACGCACACCCTCAGACACCCCAATTAGTATATTATGTTATAATCATAATACATACACTGAATTTTTAGTTAAACATTTTTATGCACTGATTATTTATCAAATTAGTTATAGTGATTCCGGAAGAATGTTGTGGTCACAGTACAATCCACAAACGCAAAGACTTTAATGTGCTTGAAATAAAGTTCATTTTTCTTTATTTTTATTGAATGACAGAATTAGTAATAATACAAATAAAACTGCACTCTTAAAAGTCTTATTGCCTTAAGATACTGTCCATTTCAGTTTGTTTTGACCGTACAGATTTAGTGTGACTGTAATTTACGTAGTTTTAATAATTTTTGGGATAAAAAATTACCTATATTAATAATGATAGGAATCGATTCTAAACAAATTACTTTCTCAAAGTGCGTTAATTATGTTACATGTTGTATATAACATATATTAAACCTATTTTAGAACATGCCTTCCAAGTTATACTAAGTTACTGGAGAGCACAAACTAGTAAGAGTAAGTACTAGCGTACTAGAGAGGTTCAACCACGGAATATAAAAACAAGAAGAAGCCCGAAGTGGGTGGGGCAGGCGTATCAAAATTAGTGACAGTAGCACATAATCAAACAAAATGACTGTCAGTCACTGGCTCAAACTGTCGCGAGCCAACGGATTGCTTCTTCAGTAATATATGTGAAATTATGCCATTTTGTGCAGTATTAGAGTGTAGAAACAAAATCTCAAAAATATAAATCTTTCAAATGGAAATGTTTCATACTACAGGTACGTCTAATTTTATTTGTTTTTGCAAAGAAACGTAAATAAACATGAATGAAAATGAAATTGCTTTTATTACAAAAAATATACAACCTTATTTCGTTAATCTAAAGTTCATCTGTCAATGTGTTATGAACAAAAAGTGCTGCGATAGTGTTGTGACTATATTCAAATCGATAAAATTTTATTTCAGTCCTATTTATTCACTAACATATTAATAAAAATGTACAAATAATGAATGTTGGAGGGTGGGGGTTAGTCTACTCCTAACTTTTGATATTATAAATAGGACTAGATTAACACCTATTCTGCTCTCCTGTCCGGCAAGCAGTTTGGCGTATGGCTCTGGGGGAGAGCACAGGTCATATTGATCCCCAGGGCAAGTCTGAGGAGTTCTCCTTCACAGGTTGCCGCCTGTTATTTGGTCTGGTTGAATAGGAAACAGACAGAACAGAAACACTTGGACAATCCTCTTTTTCTTTTCTTTTATCCCTCCCCCTTTTCCTATCCCAACCCAATCCAAGGTGTCAAGCATACCGTGCCGATGGATGCGTGGCTGAAGGGAGTCCAGTTGCAAACGGTGCCTACCCGAGACCGGGGCGATTCGGGTAGTATTTTAGCCCTTCCCTCGGCATGCGGGGCTCTGCCGGGGGTGACCAAGTATTTCCCTAGCTACTCGTGGGAACAAAATGGATGAAAACCGACATTTTGTTAAAGACAGTGATGAATGTTTAATATCGAAAATTATAGGGTGATGATATCACCCTATTAATGAACATTTTATTAGGATTTTTAATCAGAGAAGTAAATAAGTAGCTTAGTATTACTCATGGCTATTGAAAAGCTGCTGAAGCTGAAATAAAAGTGATAGTCTCATGGAAATAAAGCTTTATGATTAGCAATTCATTATCAAAATATCAATTTTTAGGTAAATATTTATTATTTCAAGGACAACAAACAATAATTTAAAGTTTTGTTTTTTATTACAATAGAATAGAATAATTTTTATTCAATATAGATTACAAGTAATTCTTATTGAAAGTTAATTTTTTACTTTACCACTGGTTCGAAAAAAAAACCTGTCCTGGGAAGAACCAGCAAGAAACCCAGCGGGACTTTTTTTATTATACTGTTCGTTTCCATTTCAAAAATGATAATTTAGCTCACTATAATCACTATAATATATTAATATTTCCATCAAAGTCAACTGATTACGTGCCAGCTATGTGAATGACGGGAATATATGTACTACATTAAGATAATTTACAATAAATTTTGTTATTTTACTCATTTTATCATAAGTATGTAATTTAATATTGACTGAATATCAATAAATCAAATCACGTTCGGGCAGTGTAACTTCATCACTAACATAATTCACGTAGCAGTAGCGGGTCAGATAGGGCAAAGCTTATATCGATTTATACTGTGCCTATAATAGGTATAAGGATATCTATTGGTAATAATTTATGGTGCATTTTCAAATAACCCCGGTATTACTGCAACATCTAATGTTAAGAAGATGAATTTGATCATTAATTCTAGAAACTTCTTTGATAAAAATATTTTGTAGAATTTATAGTTTATACTCAAAGGATTCGCAAGTAACATAATGCTTTTCCCTTTTATTTTCAAATAGCCAATCACATGAAAATGATTGAAATGGTGTATAATTGTTGGTAGACCTTGCTTTCTTAAGAATGTGTGAGTTTGGCGACAGTAGTTCTGGTACAAGTTACATGTTAACACTGTGGTAGAGCCATACTGCAGTTATATTAGAAGTATAGTTGTAGCACAAATGGGTCGGCTCGACTGAGGAGGGACCACGCTCTCACAGAATACCAGCGTGAAATAGTAGTTTAAGGCTGCTGTATTTTGTATGGTGAGTGTAGAGAACCGGAGACTCTTTTTACTGGAAACGAGGCATTCCATCTTAGTCCTTACGGGTGACAACGCATCTGCATTTCAATTTGTAATTGAGGATTGATGTAGATGACTATGGGCCACAGAAACCACTTACCATCAGGTGGACTGTGTGCTTGTTTGTCACCCCATCCTATAAAAAAAACGTTACTACTTCCTCTTGTTTTTTATATTCCGTGGGTTCAACCATAGACTTAGAATATACTGACTTAAGTTTATGGGTTCTTGAGTTCCAAGAGTTTGAGTTTGACTTGCAATGTTGGCATTATTGTAGTTATGCCCAACATTTAAAATGGCTCGCTTTTATAAATAAATTAATTTTCAATGAAGGATGGAAAATATTAAAATGAATTAAAAATTGAACAAAACCATGTTGCATTTTACAACAATTTCAAATAAAATAGAAAATAGGTTTAAAAAAAAAGGAGTTCAAATCAAAATGAAAATAGGTATTTTGAAGTTTGTATTTTCATTTTAAATATATGTATTTCCAATAATTCACATCTCTAACAAGTACACAGTTTACCTGATAGTAAGTGAATGCTGTGGTCTATATACATCTAAATTTATCCCCAATTAATTGTCACCCTGAGGATGAAGACAGAACGCCAACAGTATATAGCATTTCCAGTTCTCTACACTCACCATATAAAACAGCATTAAGCTGCTACTTTATGCTGGTATTCTGTGAAGGTCTGGTACTACCCCTGTCGAGCTGACCCATCTATGATACAACCACAATATAGCTGCAGCATGGCTCTACCACATATAAAATATGGATAATAATGTCCCACAGACAGAATTTGGTCACAACAGAGACTATTCATCAATGCAGGACTGGATTTAAGTGGGTGAAATACCAAACTAGGACGGATGTTAATTTCTTGGAAGAAGTTCGCAATAATACTCATTTAAGTAACATGTACTAGAACGGGTAAGGTTTACAATTCGGTCGCCTGAATTTGGGGGTGGGGGGTGGCGTGGGGGGAGGGGGGAGGAGTTGTAGAGTCACCCCCTACTTCCACTTTCTGCCGGACGTGCTTAGTTTTTTTTTTTATTAATTTTTAAAAATCTCATTTTGAGGTTATGTTTCGTAATTTTTATGACAATTTTAACCTGATTTATGGGTAGAGAGAGTTGGAGGAT